CCCATTGGTCTCCGGAAACGCTTCAAAGTGCTAGTCGTTACTTTTAAAGCCCTACATGGCATTGGACCTGGCTACCTGAGAGACCGCCTCCTGCCGGTTATCTCCCAGAGACCTATTAGATCGCACAGACTAGGCCTCCTCCGGATTCCATCTGCCGGTCAATGTCGGCTGGCGACCCCCCGGGGGAGGGCCTTCTCTGTAGCTGCTCTGGCCCTCTGGAACGATCTCCCCGTCGAGATCCGGACCCTTACTACTCTTCCGGCCTTCCGTAAAGCGACCAAGACCTGGCTATTCCGGCAGGCCTGGGGCTGTTGAATTATCCAGCCCCATCCTAAGTTATGAATGTTGTTGTAATTTTAAATTGTTTTTTTTTTATATCCCCCCTCCCTTTTTATTTGTAAGCCGCCCTGAGTCTTCCAAGAGTGGGCAGCATTCAAGCTAATTAAATAAATAAATAAATAAAAATAAATAAATAAATAAACAAATAAATAAATAAATACATTGACTCCAAGGCCCCCTCCTCCCAATTGAATGGCAGTATCACTTTTAGGGATCTTGACATGTAGAGTCCCCAGCTGCTATGTGGCTTGACATTTTGGTATAGGAGCAGAGCATAAATGAACTGACAATTTCTACAGATGTCTCTAAAAACTGTCTGTCAAACAGTCTCTCAATCTTGGTTACTACCTCTAACACAGCCCTAGAGGAGAACTTAATATTAGTAATAATTTACATAATTGATATACCATCTAATTCTCAATGATCCCGGGTAGCTCACAACAATCAAAAAATATACAATTAAATCAATCATAGGTAAATATTAAGATAAAAGATGACTAACTCAGTGATACAAGGGGGCTCACTCTCTCTCATCAAAGATCTGGGTGAAGAGCCAGATGTTTTTGGCTCTTCTGAACAACAGTCATCCAGATCTTGGAGGGTACCTAGTTCTAGTTGGCAGATGCTGCTAAAGAGGAGGGGAAGAAGGTGCTGCCTCCTGCAGCACTCTGCTAGTCAAAATGGGCCACGGGATGCTGCCTCTGGCTCTGCCAAATTGCTTTTCACTTCATGTCTCCAGGAGCGATCTCTATGTCTGTCTCTGTCTCTGTCTCTGTCTCTGTCTCTGTCTCTGTCTCTCTCTCTCTCTCACACACACACACACACACACACAGACACAGACACAGACACAGACACACTACATCAGGACTCAAAGATTTTCAGCAAAATCATAAGAAAAATGTGTAAAAT